TAAATAATGGGTAGTTAGTTAGTATGTAACTGTTTTGAGAACCGACCAACTACCGTTTTTAGAAACGAAAGGAGGATAGTAGTTAAACTAAATTCAGTCATTAACGAATATTTCGTTGTGCCAGTTGCGTTTATTTCGAAGTGTCTTAAAAATTTTATGTAGTGAAAAATGTTCTGTCCATGGATTTAACCTGCAGCCAGTACTTCAACTGGTGGTGGTAATACCACTAATCGACAAGTTTTACACGTTAATGGGAAAAAAAATTAAATGTTTATACCTCCCTTATGGAATGTGGAATGACCAAGACTCAAGCAGTGCGAGAAACTGCCTCCTTAACGAAACCGCCGTATATTCTACAGTATTTAAAATAGTAAGTAACCCTATTTTAAAAAGAAGGAAAAGAAAAGACTGGTACTTCAAAGAAACTAGATGGCTGTGATGTAGACTTAATTCGAAGGAAAATATATGACTTGTATAGAGAGCAAATTGTGCCTACACTAGATATATTGATGTGACGACTTGAAAAGGTCGAAACTGGTATCCAGTATAGCAGAGACTTTAAGGAAGTCTCTTTTAAGAAACGGGTTAAAATAAAAAAAAATTAATAACAGCAAAAAAGTCATAATTGAATCTGTGCGCCTTAAGCAATGAAGATTTCAATATTTATTGGCGATAAATAATTTTAAAGAAGCTGGCAGAACAGTTGTGTATTTGGATGAAACTTACTTGGTTCGATACACACGATATTCTAAACAAAAGTTGGGTAGATTCATCTGACTTGTGCCAGACTAATGCGCCACATAATAAAGGCAAAGGTATTACTATAATACACTCAGGAACCAATAATGGTTTTATACTCAATGCGTTGTCATTATCGGTAGGAAATATTAAGGGTTCCTTAGTCGATTACCATGACGACACTACTGCCAAATTATTTGAAGATTGGTTCCAAACTAATATTTTGCCAAATATTCCACTCAACAGTGTTATCGTCATGGATAATGCCAGCTACCACAGTCTGAAACTAGATAAGGCCTTGTTCAAACGACATAGAAGCCATCATACAAGATTACATGATAAACAATGATTTGTACTTTGAAGAAAAGTACACAAAAAAGCAGTTACTGAAAGTTTTAAAAAGCTATTCAATACAAAAGAAATATTTTTGTGACACATTAGCTGAAAGCTTGGGACATACGGTGCTCAGACTTCCTCCTTACCACTGTATGTTTAACGCAACTGAACATATATGGCGTCAGCTTAAGTCAGCAGTTGGAAGAAATAATACTTCTCCAACCTTAAGTTCGACCGTGGCAGCTCTTATTCAAACAGAAGCTGCAAAAATTCCTGATAGCAGCTGGACCAAGTGTGTTTCCCATATAAAAAAGGTGGAAAAGACATATATTGATATAGAAAAGATACCAAGAGAAAGGTTTATTATTAATTTGGATGACGATAGTGAAAGTTAAACATAAGTTCGTGAGTAATTTTGTTTAAATTTGTTTAAATAAATAAAATATTAGAAAATGAAATGTAAAAATTCCACTATATTAATAAAAATACTTATCTGAGTAATTCAAAATCGACAATTGTTTCAGAAGCATAAACATCTATCGTCAGGATTGACAACAGTGGAATTTTACCATTTTATTTATTATGAATAGATTCACAATGTAAGGGTAGAAACAATCACTATGACTAGATACTTATTCGTACTTTGTCATACTGATTTTTATTTTTACCAAGTTACCACTTTATACTTTTTAATAATTATATTTTATATGTTCAACCTATATTCTGTACACTTAAATACTTTATTTTCTACTTTTTAGTACTTCTACTACCTACCTACTTTTTCGTACTTTGTCATACCGATTTTTACTTTTATTATTTTACCACGTTATACTTTTTAATAATTACATTTTATATATTCAACCTACATTTTGTACTTTTAAATAATTTATTTTTTAGTACTTTGATTACCTACCTACTTTTTCGTACTTTGTCATACTGATTTTTGCTTTTACCAAGTTACCCCGTTACTTTTTGTACACACTGTATAAATAAATAAACAATTCTGAATTATAGTGATTTTTCTTAATATTTATTTTACCACAATTATTAACCTATAGAACAAAACTTAATTGCTAGAGTAGGTACGTCTCTGCGTAGAAACGGCCACCTGCTGATAAGTAAATAACCTTCTGTTTTATTATGGTAGTCACTAGATCTCTGGTTTAACTAGACAAACGACAAGCTATTTGAGCGTAATAACGGTAACTTCTTAAAAATAGTTGAGCTGCTATCTGAATTTATCCCATCATGGAAGAACACGTACGTAGGGTACTTAAAAAAGAAGAAACGAAAGCTCACTATCCTGGGGAAAATATTCAAAACGAGAAAATAGACCTGTTGCATCAAAGTGTGAAATCTTATATTATTAATGAAGTAAAAAAAGCCAAATATTATTCAATAATTTTAGATTGCATTCCTGATATTTCTAAGGTGGAGCAAATGACTCTTGTAATCAGGTATGTTTCAATCAATAAAACTGATTCCAATAAGGATGAGGTGGAAATTAAAATTAATGAAACATTTTTGGGTTTTCTTCCAGTTGAAATAACTACAGGGAAGCAACTGTTTAAAATTATAATTGAAGAACTTTATAATTTGGTTTTAAATTTACAGAATATAAGCGGGCAGGGATGTGACAACGGGTCTAGTATGCGGGGCGATAAATCAGGAGTGCAATCTAGAATTAAGAACCTAAATCCGAGAGCTTCCTACGTTCCATGCAGTAGTAGTTAACGATATGGTAAAAGCATCTTTGGAAGACGCTAATTTCTTTAATATGATTCAGAAAATATATGTATTTTTTTCAGCATCTACTTTTCGCTGAGCAATTCTTCTAAAACATGTCCAGGGTTTAACTTTAAAACCGTTAAGTGATACTAGATGAAAGAGTAGGATAGAGGCAGACAAAAGATTATGAACTAGCATCTGCACTTGATCATTTGCAAAATTGCAAAAAGTTTTTTCAGGATATTCGTTTGGATAAATCTTTTAATAAAACTATTGTTGATGCGAGAGAACTGGCTGACGAAATTGACGTTGAACCCAATTTTGAATCAACAATACCACGACACCGCGTAAGAAGAAAAAAAAAGGAATTTCTCATACGAAGCACGAGATGAACCGATCGAGAACCCTAAAGAAAATTATAAGGTAGTTTTTGTTTTGTTTTATAATTGAACAGGCACTAAATGCAATAGATACTAGACTTAAACAACTTAGTCACTATAGTAATTATTTTTAATTTTTATAATAATATATATGATTTAAAGGGCATGTCTAAAGAAAATATTTTTGAACATTGCAACGATCTAGAAAGTATTTTAACTCATGTTGATTCTATTGTTGTTACTGGGATAAAATTAACAGAAGACATTTGTGCAGTATCTGGGCTTATGGGCAGGTAGTGTTCTAAAATTAATAACAATTTTAAATTGTGCCCCAAACCTTAAGAGTATTGCTGTCGATACCAGTAACTGTTGCAAGTGGAGAAAACAATTTTTCCAAATTAAAATTGAATAAGAACTTTTTACGTTAAACTACAACGCAAAATCATTCTTTATCGTGTTCTTATTGCGACATTCTGTATCATTAAATGTAGAGGGGTGAGGTTTAAGATCACCTCCATTGCGGCCGTAGGATAGGTTCTCATTGCATCGGTGATGCGTACAGGCTAGTCTTTGTACTTTTGAGATATTAGCTCTCGTAGTAGTTAATTTAGTTTTTGTACTTCAAGCTACTGCAGTCTACATCTACCGCAATGTGTTCGGGTTACATCCCCATCGTATACACGCAATGTTTCTGCATACCATTATGGCTTTTGTGGCCGTACTACTTCTTTCTCATGTAAGTTCCAGAGATGTTTGTTGACCAGGGTTAGGCCCAGATAATTCATTTATCTATTTTATATCTAATATGGACGGTTTTAAGATTTAGTTTTCTTTTGGATGAAAAAACTACTAGTGTTTTTTTTTTTTTTTTCGTGGGGTTTAGTCCCATCTCACGGCACCATCTTTTATTGTATTCTAGTCCTCTTTAGGCTATGTCACACAGGATATTTCCAAACTTGCCTTTAGCAAATATGATTGTCTTCGGTATAATCTTGACAGGATATGCCTAGGTCAGTCAATATGCATTAAAGTATAAACCATATAAAGGATGACGTGGTAAGGACTACACATATGATTAAATAGTAGTTTATGTTGCAAGGACGAAAAGTTGACTTTTTCTGGAAACTCGTAGGAGTATGTAAGAGATTGTTCTAGTTCTGATATGCTCGATAATCTCATCTTGTTCGTGAAGGTACTTCCTTACTTGGCAATGGTCAGTGAGAAGGCCCGGGTCCAGATTCTGTTTAATTATAGTCAAGTATTTTTTTACTGTAGTGTAAGCGTAACTTAAAATCTTCCTAGCGACTATGTAACTTCTTTTTTCATTGTTAAATTCAATAAATTTTACAGAGGAGTATTTATAAATTAGGTTTGTCAAGACCAATGTTACTATTGATAGCAGAGTCAGGTCCAAATATGATTTGGTAGGCTGCCTTCTTTCACAGAGAATTGATAAGACCGTTATCTTTCGATGTGGCCTGCCATTTCCGGCTTTTCTGTATTTTTTATATAACTTTGTAGTACTTGTGAAAGACATACCATGGCAATATGGAGTTTGTGATCGCTTAAAATATCTGAAGCGTGTCGAGTTCCTCCTGCCAAGGGCGACATCTTTTTTTATCGGATTCTACAGCTGGTTATTTTCCAACAATGCGGAATCGTGCCATTCCCTTAGGAATGAGATTGAGAATAATTGTGTTGAGGTATGACGTTCTTTGTATTTGTTCTAGTTTATGGATAGTTGTTGGATTTTCGATACCCAGAAAAATGTTCCGTGTATTAGCATAATAATACTATAATAGTTAAAACATACTTTACCTGTTTTCCTCTAAATTCGATTTGAAAATTCTTAGCCGACTCCTGGGTAACTCTTCCGCCAAAATCCAGTTGATATACTTGGTTGTTTTCGTTCCACATCGGTGCTTTGTTATGCATTACGAATTCCCTTCTTTGTGGAATCACCTGGTTGTTGCAGCTGCTTCCGTTTGGTTCTATTTTTCCTCTTTTGAGCTGCTCAATTAAATAAAGAACAAATAGGTCAAATTTAAAAAAGAAGAACTTTATATTCTGATAAAGTAAATACATTCTAGTTACAATTGAAATTATTGCTGCACACAATTTTTTAATTTTAAAGTTTTATTTTTAACGAATAAAAAATATAAATATTGATTTAAACTATAAAATAAAGTGCTACTTTGCTTACGTTTTCATTTTTTAATTTATTATCTGTTATACACACATTATTTTAAATACACGTTGTAAAGAATGGGATATTTTCTTAGTACATGTTCTGATCAAGTCAGATTACTGTTAACTATAACTCCTAAATCATTATGCGAGTCTATAGCTTTTATAAATTGTGCGTTGATATAATACGGCAACCCTGGGTTAATTTTTCCGACTCGGAAAAATACACATTTATCAGTATTCAAGGGTAGCAGCTACTGCAAGTACCACTGCGATATAGCTTTAAAGTCGTTTTGAAAATCTTCATGATTGGTAAAGGGATTATTATATATTTTTATATCATCGGCTAAACATGCTTGAAACATGGTATTGTAGATCACTTACATAAATGGTGAAGAGTAACGGTCCCAAAATGGAGTCTTGTGGAATTCCGCTGGTAACAGCTCTTTTTATTAAAAGAGCTATCACCAGCGGAATTATTTTTATTAAAAGAGAGTTGCCGACTCTTACTTTAGAATGTCTGTCTGAGAGAAAGTCTTCAATCCAGAAATACAAGTTCCTCGTATACACATGTTCAAGTTTGTGAAGTAGCCTTTGTATAACGACTTTATGAAAGGCTTTGGAGAGATCTAAATAAACTTTGTCCAGCCACTAACACAGTGCAGTAGATTTGTAAGTGTTGAGCGACCTTTGATAAATCCATATTGTTGATGTGGGATTACGTTTTCTTGAAGGAAAAAGTCAGTCATGACTTCCGAGATAATGGATTCCATAATCTTGCTGATAATTGGTAGAAGACTAATGGGACGGTAATTTTTGGGGTCTAATTTATTACCTTTTTTAAAAATAGGGGTGACCAATGCTAGTTTCCAACTGATTGGAAGGGAGCATTGAGTTAAAATATTTTTGCATAATCAGAGATAGTGGCATAGTTAAAGAAATCGTTTTAGGAATTGTAAAGTTAGGCCATCAAGTCCTGGGGATATATTGTTACGGAGTTTTAATAGATATGTTTTGATAAGATGTGGAGTAAAGTGAATGTTTTCAATGGATGCATGAATACGTGGACAGATAAGTTGGAAGGTGTCATTATGAGGTTGAGCAGTAAAAGCTTGCGAAAAGGTGATAGATAGAAGTTCAGATGTTTCGTCATCAGTAGAGCATAGGGTGTCATCATGATATTAAAGGAGAGGTGTAGATACTTTAGATGTGAAAGAAGATCGAATAAATTTGAGCTAAGCTCTACTGTTACCATTTTTGGCAATTTAAAGTTATTCCTAGAAGAGTCTAAGTGCTGTTTCAGGATATTGAAAAAATCTGCGATGGGCATGGAAGTCATTGGAGTGAGTTATTGGCCAATTGATTTCTGGAAAGTTAAAATCACCGACATGGATGAGGTGCTCAAGAGAAGATATTTTATCTAACTTTTTGAGAAGATTATTGTCATCAGCTAGTTTAGAACTAGGTGAACGAGAGATGCATAGTAAATTGCTCCTACTCCAGTCAGAAAAGGCTCATCAAATACTGGTAAAAAAGCTGAGAAGAACTAATCTAGATGAAACCAGCACAGAAACATCTTGCATAATAGCTAAGAACATTAAACTGTCATACTTTTAAAGATTCATTTCCTCTTCTCCTCTGGCCCTCCATCATTCGTCATTCGTCTCATCTTAAAGCCTCTAGATATTGGGACGTCTTTGTTCCCCATTTAATAATTTTTATATTTGTTTTTTATTAATAAATTTAACGTCAGCATTTGTCTAACTAGAAGGTTAAAACACCAATGCTGGAAATCACGCTACTCCCAAAATACCAGAAATTTAGGGATCTTTAACGAGCTCAACATGCATCGACAATACATCTCCTCCAAAAGATGGCACACCACGCTATACCTTGTATTCATTGCTATAGTGCCTGCTAGCTATGGCATGCAACTTAACGGATGGTTTGTTTGGACTTTTATAGACAACACACCGACTTTCCTTGGATAGTCACACATCCAAGTACAAACTGCGGGTGACTCTAGGGATGCGCACGATGTATCGATGTTAAAAAACATCGATTTTTCTCTTTCGATTATCGATATTTTTATCGATGTTTTTTTATGCGATGTTTTCATTTAACATCGATGTTTTTTTATCTAATATCGATGATTTTTAATTTTACTCGAAAAATATTGGTGTAGGAAACTACAGGTTGCTTGTCGGAAGCAATGAACTGGAGTGGGGTAGAAAGCCAATGTGCATATTATATCAATAAAACAAGATGCGACTCTATGGGCGCAGCCATTTTTATTTCTCATCTCACTCGGGAGTATTTATAATAACCATTTTCTGTTTCACATTGTTATTGTTCAATCCACAAGCTGGTGGATCAGACAATAACAAAGTGAAATAGAAAATGGTTGTTATAAATACTCCCGAGTGAGATGAAAAATAACCTGTCTTCGCCCATAGAGTCGCATGTCAAGCCTATTGACAAGCATTCTACCCCATTCCAGTTCATTGGTCGGAAGTCACGACCTATTTGATTTACCGCCCATAGACAGAGATATTTTTTTATTAAAAATGTTAATAGTTTTATTATTATGTAAGTACTTATCTTTTTATTTTCGATTTACAGATTTAAAATTTAGACAGGTAGCCTAATTAGAAACTAAAATATTATTTATCCTGAATTAGTGAATCCCGAATAAAACAACTTATTTGTATATATTGTTCATTATCGAGTCAAAATTCTTGATTTTGATTATTTTTTCCCATTTGAATAATGATTTATTCCATTTAATAATTAATATAATTATTCATAGAAATTAAATTGATTGTTAATTGAGCGTGTTTTTTTGCAATGTTCCTATCAGAAATTTAATCTTATTATTTTTTAATAATTAAAGTTATTCTAATTTTGACTTATAGGTATAAAGTGGCATCTTTTGTAATCGCAGCAAGTGTAAAAATTATCTACTAACTATATTAAGTTGAATATATTGCGAAAAGAAAACAAATAAAAATAAACCATTTTTGGTATTAAAATCAATTGTTTTCGGAGAAGGAAGGTTGGTTATATAAAAATAAATTTGGTCAGTGAACTTATAATTACTAATAGTTCTGGTTCGTTTGCTATTTTAAAAATCATCTATTATAAATTTGAACAAAATAATCGAAACAAACAACCAGTGACATAGTTTTATCGTAAAAAAACTAAAAATATTCATACATATTTATGTAAAATTACACATTTTCTTGAAAATTAACAAGTTTTGGCAAGAAAATGAAAACTGTTTGTGATGATAAATATTTTAAAAGTAATGATGATAATAATAATAATAATAATAATAATAATAATAATTATTATTATTATTATTATTATGCTAAATAAAATGCATTTAAAATAAATAAACAACAATAGTACGTATTTTTATTTAATTTTCATATTTTGGAAAAATAAAATTGCATCTATTGTGAATTGAACCGCGTCGCGAAATGCAAAATTGACTACATGTTCAATGCTTAACTGAGCTAAAGAGTCATGTCAAGTGTGTGTATTTTATGTTTTTAGTCGATATTTTTTACAACTTTCAGTTCTCTGACGTCTTGTTTGCAGGAATTTTAAACTAAATCCTTGCATATGACAGTTCCTGATGGTCCCGCCTACCACTTTACAAAATTCCAGCCGGAGGTACGATCATACCATAGACTTCATATTTTATCTAAGAAGGATCGTACTACCTTGCAGCCGCCAACTCTGAGTCTATTAATAATAATAAATAGGTATTTTACTTTGCATCGAAAGTGTAGCACTGGGCTACAGCAATTCTGAAAATATCGTTCCATATATACAAATTGTATGGATGGAACGATATTTTCAGAAGTGACGTAGCTCAGTGCTACACTTTCGATGCAAAGGAAAAGACCTAATAAAAATAAGATTATTTCCAATGTCTTGTTTATTTGTTCGTTTATAAAAAATATCGATGTTTACAAAAATCGATGTTTTCTTTCCGATTTTTTTACAACATCGATAGTCTGTATTCGATGTATCATTTGATGTCAACATCGATGTTTTAAAAATTTTGCGCATCCCTAGGTGACTCTGCTCGACTGCATATATCGATACACAATATAGTGAACCTGCTAAGCCGGACCGCTGCCGAATTTTCATAAACTCTATTCAACTTAAACACAAGTAACGCGTAAACACAATAGCCGCTTGACCACTGCATGATACGCACAAGCCCGGCTGCTATTGACCAGCACAGTGATCCTGTTTTGGATGTTTCTCTACCTTCTAGTTCAATATGCTGTTGTCAAGGAGCTATTGTGTTTACGCGTTACTTGCGTTTAAGTTGAATTACGTGTGTCTTTTTATCCAACTGTTGCAGCAACGTTGGCATCGATGCGGTATGTCAACTGTTATTTATTTCAACGGTCAACCAGAATCCAACACAAAACGTTCAAGGCCGCATCGGTGAAACAACGGTTGCAACAAACCGGTGGAAAAAAAGACACACGTATAGAGTTTAGTTAATAGTATTCAATACCTACACATACCATTTAATTTTCCAATGTGTAAATTTTAGTTTTATTCTTACTTTTAGACCCCACTTTTAGTGCGACCGATTTACTTTTGATGTTGTTTGACCTTAATATTTACATTACTATGTTACTAATTTTTTGCTAATGATTGGATAATCCAATATTATATTCGTCCTGATAAAACTAATAATAACTCTTGGGCCGTAACAAGTAGTCTCCATTTATACTTGATTCATAAAAAACATTGTGTTGTACGGATTGTGAATAATTTTATTTTTGTTTATGAAAATGACCACATTCAATACCCTCTACGATTTGAATAATTTTAGTTTAGCTGTTTTAAGGGTGATTTTAAGATTTATCTGTTTTGCAATCAATTTGAACATTTATTGTTCTATTTGAAATAAACTTTATTTGTAAATATGGCTTACGTGTATGACAATAAGTAGTGCGAATAAAAATTACCTAACGCCGTAGGTACCAGTTATAAAATCAGCCTTGAAAATATCCCAATGTTAAACGATTTTTAATTCTTTAGTAAGTATCAACATATATATTATAAAGAATCAATAAATCTTGTTAGATAAAATTAACTAGTTATAGTTACCTTTTGTCGTAACTGAGATTTTTGGAAGGTTTCCAGATCCTTGTAATTCGTACCATTAAAAATTTCATCACCAGACGCATTCACTTCATCATCAGAACTCTCCTGATATTTATTCTTTTTGTTCTTTCTTCCCAATAAAGGAGAATTCAAAAATTTCTTTCTAATAGGTGACGCTGATTGAGGCCGCATACCTAAAATTAGATTAAACCATAAATTATAAGACACTAGTTTTAAATACTACCTATACTAATTTTAAAAACTCATTTAGGTACCTAAAAAATGTAAATTAAGTTTTTGCACGTTATTACATAATTTTACAAATATTTAATTAAGGTGGTGACTGTCAAAACAAACGACCTGGTAAATAAATGCTATTTTGTAGAATAGAGAGTTCCACAGGAGTTTGTCTTGGGTCCTTTACTATTTGTATTATACTAACAACTTATTGCATCATTTCACTTATTTTTGTATTTCATCTTACCTTTTTTACTAGGAGCTGGAGAAGAAGGTGAGCTTCTAGGCAACTTTGGAGAACTAGTGTTTGATTTACTATCATCTTCTCTCAACCTAGTAATTAATTTTTCTAAATTCGCTAGTGCTTGAGTGTGAATAGCTACTCCGTTTTTCTCATTATTAATTTCTTTACTCTGATTAACGTTATTTTTCTTCTGGTTGTTTCTTCCTCTATTCTTATCGTTATTAATATCGGTTTTCTTTCTTCTGAGCAACGGTGAAGAAAAGAAATCCCTCCTGTTATTTTTCTTGTTGTTATTTTTAATTTTATCATCCTTTACGGGTGCTTTATTTATTTCCGTTTCCAAATGAATTTCTTCCATCACTTCTATCTCCGGAATGTCTTTTTCTTTCTTCTTCTTTATAACTACATTAATACTATTTTCGTGGTTTGGAAAAATATCACTAGAATCAAGGCTTTTGGATTTGCCGTAAGTTTTAAGCTTAGGATTAATTTCGGAATTTTTAGAGAGTTGTCCAAATTGCTTTGAATTTAGACGGTTTGGTCTTCTATTTTTTCCTTTTTTATCTACCAATACTAGGCGCTTAGGAATGTCTTTGTGGAGTAAAGATAATGTTTCGTCGCTAGGAACTAGTTGTCTGTCCACCATATCTAGAAATCCTAGAAGAAAAATAAATATACAATTGCAAGTAATATAAAACTAGAGCAAGAAGTCATTTAATTAAAAATCTGACGGGTATTGCAAGAGTTTGAATTAGATGTTTTAAAGAGCATTAAAAAAAAATAACAGAAAATTTCTAAGAATACCAACGATGGATTATTATAGACTCACGACTTGCCACTGATTTCTGAAGGCTGGCTCTATCAGTCACACTGAGATTATATACCAATTTTCTGATTTTGAATTAAAATTCGAATTCCTTCTTAAAGTTTAGGTGCTAGTTTCGTATTTTTTTTGGCTTGTTCTTGAATGTTTTGTTTGTATTTTATTTGCTCCTCTAATAGTGTAAGATCCGAAGTAAAGTCGACCTTCGCCCATCTGTTTAATGGATGAAAGTTTATTTTTAATTAATAAAATATGTTTATTAATATACCGCAAATGGGTTGTCTAAGAAAATACGGTCCGACTATTTATTTTCTCAAAATAAAAAAAACGACACCCTGTAAAGTATTCCCCAGATGCTTCTACTATGCCCAAACTTTAATCAGATCACCGCAGGATGGATTGAAGCTTAAGTTTAAAATTTCGTGTTTTTCTCTTCATCCGTTTTTGAGTTGTCTTCAAAATTCGAAATTTGCACTTTTTCTCAAATATCTTAAATTAGGTCCATTTTAGGGAAATCATGTATAGAAAAAAATGATAGAGAATGATACCATAAGCAACTTTTATCATGATTCGCATACTTTCCTTATCTGTACACAGAAAGAAAAGTTAAAAATGACTGTGACCGTATTTTCTTAGGCAACCCATTTGCGGTATATTTAAAAACATATTTTATTTAATTTTTTTTTTGTGAAAAATCACTCCAAAAGGGGCGTTTATTGATATTACAATCTGATCAAGAGTTGATCAATGAGTAATTTTGTTATAACCTAACTTAACTAGGGTTGCAATCTTAAAAACTAAAGTTCTACTCGCTAGTATACCTTAGGGTCTGATAACTTAATTACACTAAACTAACGTGTAACACTAAACCGCACAATGCTTTGCTTTGTTATTAACACAATCACTTGGCTAACTCAAAATGTTTCACTCTCTTGAGTCTTCTTGTCAGGTTCGTGTTGTCAAGAAGCTGGATCGCCTCAACGTTCACATGTTGGTGGAGCCGTTGTTCGTGACTCCTAGCGAATCTGGTGATAGTCTGGTCAACAGTGTCCATCTGAAGGTCTCGGTGAAGGTCGCTGTTTCTAATGTACCAAGGAGCATCGACAATGTTCCTCAATACTTTGTTCTGGAATTTCTGGATTATTAGAATATTACTGTAGCTGGCACAACCCCAGAGCTGAATGCCATAGGTCCAAATTGGTTTGAGAACTTGTTTATATAATAGAATTATTTTGTTATGTGTAGATAAGCTGGAATGCCTACCAAGTAACCAGTACATTTTCTTGAATTTTATATCTAACTCTTGTCTTTTCTTTTTAACATGGACCTTCCAGCGAAGTCTTGCATCTAATGTAATACCTAGATATTTTGCCGAGTTAGCATAAGGGATCTGAGCATTATTTATGTTAATTGGTATTCTTTAGCCATTTTTGTTAGTAAAATTAATATTAACAGATTTGGTTTCGTTTAGTTTAGTTTAATACGACATCTTTTGGTCCATTTATGTATTTTATTAACTGATGTTTGTAGTTTATTTGCAGCCTCTTCATAATCTTTGCCTATCGCTAGGATGGCAGTATCATCTGCAAATGTAGCTATTGTGTCTTATTCTAGTTGGGGTATGTCACAAGTGTATAACAGATACAAAGTGAGTCCCAGGACGCTTCCCTGTTGTATTCCTGCTTTAATTTCTTTCAAATCAGAGTATTCTTCGTCTTGTTTTACTCTAAAGAATTTATCTGAAATGTATGAATCTAATAGCTCTGAGTATGGCTGTGGAAGTAGTACATTCAGTTTATGTCTTAAGCCATCATGCCATACTTTATCGAAAGCCTGCGCAACATCGAGGAAGATGGCTGAACAGACTTCTTTGTTTTCTAATGCTTTTTCAATAGCATTTGAGATTCTATGAACCTGATCTATAGTTGAATGGTTTTCTCTAAAGCCGAACTGGTAATCTGGAATAAGTTTTCTTTCTTCAATGATGGTTTTCAGTCTTTTTATTAGTATTTTTTCAAATAGTTTCGATATTATAGGCAATAGAGATATTGGCCTATATGACGAAACTTCGTTCGGAGGTTTACCTGGTTTGGGGATCATAATGACTTCAGCTACTTTCCACAATCTAGGGACATACCTTAGTTTGAATGAGACATTAAAGAGGTGTGTAAGTTTAATTATGGCTTTCTTCGGAAGTTGTTTTAAGTCTTCTCCTTTAATTAAATCATAGCCAGGAGCTTTCTTAGGATTAATATTTATTTTTATATCTTCTGCAATTTCCTTTGGAGAGGTTGGTCTGATAATTAAGTCATCTCTCACTAGAGGAGCCCAGTTCGGTAATTCTTCTCCTTCATTTGGTTTGAAGGTGTTTTCTAAGTGTTCTGCAAATCTATTAACTTTTTGTATATTATTTCTAGCCCAGCTACCATCTGTATTCCTGATTGGAGCATTCTGCACAGTGGGTCTTTTTAATAGCTTTGTGGCTTTCCATAGAGAATAATCAGTGGATTTATTGTTTGTCAACTCACTAAGGTACTCACAAATAGATTCATTTTTGATTCGTTTTATTTCTCTTTTTAACTGTTGGGTGGCGTTGTTAAGTTTGGTTTTATCTGATGGAGCTCTGGTCTGATGCCATGCCCTCCTTAGTTTTCTTTTTGCAGAGATTAGGTCCCTTATTTCTTTAGGATAGTTATTTCCTGTTGTTCGCTGCATAATAGGTGGCGTATTATCCCATGCTGCTTGTTGTATGTTGGACACAAGTAGTTCTACTTCTTCATCTAGCTGTGCTTTTGTTCTTAACAAAACTGAAAGATTGATTTGATTTTCAAGGTCCAGTCTAAAGCTTTGCCAGTCTGTTCTCCTATTTATTAGTCTAGGAGCGCTTTCCTTTTGGATAATGGTGTCACTAAGAGTGAGAAGAATGGGCGAATGATTTGAATTCATGTCCCATGCCTCATCAACTTGGATGTAGTTTGCTGAAATATTTCGTACAACAAAAAAGTCTATTAGGTCGGGTATTTTAACTGTCTCATTGCTTCTTTTAGGTTTTTACCCTTAGTTGTCGTTAGTCTGGAGCCCCAATGGGTGTGTTTTGCATTAAAGTCGCCTCCAATGATAAATCTAAGTTCTTGACTATTGAGGAAATCTAGGTATTGTTCTTTCTTAATGGTATGTCTTGGAGGAGAATATACAGAAGTGACCATAACATCAGAAGTTTTAGATTTTATCATTACTGAAGTAGCCTGAAATTCTTCAGTTCTTTATCCCGCTTCTTGATAATGCTTCCCAGCTAGCACATAACGTTGCCAAGCCTTTCGGCGATGTTGTTTTAAGGGAACGTAATAACATTATCATATAACGTAATTGCAACGTACACGAGAAGTTGTTGAGAGAAATTAAAACCTCGCGAAACATCTATTTGTTACTTACGTATTTAACCTGCCTGTTATGATAACACAACGTAATAAAGTAACTTGCTAAAAAAGTATCCACGAGATGTACTATATACATCATTTTGTTTTCGAACGTACCCATTCGTTTGTTATAACCAACAAAACATAAAAAAATGTCACTTGTCACATTTTCTTGTATTTATTTGAGATTTTCAGAGATTTTAAAGAAATTGTAAACTATTCCTTTGAATAAGTTTGGTAAGTTCTTTTCTTCTTTTCAATAAAATAGAAACATATTTTCTAATTTATTGCCTGTTCTTTTAGATTGCAATATTAAATGACTGCCTATATTTTACATGATAATAGGGATCTTATTGATGTCTCAATACTATAGAAGTATCGATATTAAACAATGAAAGTATCCATATTTAGGCACTGATACTGAATTACCAATACTATCACCATATCCATACTTAGAAGCTAGTATCGTATCGCTATGTGCGTGTGTGGTCAGGAATAATAAGGTTTGTTCAAATATTTTAGTTTTCGCATGTGGTGAAACTTGGTAATATGATTAAGCTTTACCACTGTTTTTTTTTTGTTATTTAATTATAAGTTAAATTGCCAGTTATTGACACTATAACTTGTACCAAGTAAAGTACCAGTAGAGAAAGAAAAGGTGTCAACTACTGTTTATTGCTATCGAATAAATCGTAGAGTTTTTAACGTATTTTTTATTATAAAAAGATGAATGACAACGATATTAATTCATGACATTAAACAATCTATGACAACTAAAAAAAAATATAGGGTGATTCTTAACATGCCCCCCGCCTTGAAAGATCAGCTTTCAACTGGTAATGGACATATCTTTGATACCGGTCTAGTTACGTTTCCATTGCTGGTTCTGATGGTCACAACTCTCTTAATACCATCTAATCCTGGCTTGAACTCTAAAACTCGGCCTAACTTCCACTTAGTTGCTGGTAAATGATCCTCTTTTATTACGACCATCTGACCTTGCTTAAGAGCTTCTTGAGATTCTTTCCATTTTGACCTTATTTGTAACTCGCAGATATACTCTTTACTCCAACGCTCCCAGAAGTGCTGTTGCATTTGTTGGATATGGTTGTATAAAGACAATCGATTTTGAGGCTGATTTTTTAGATCTACGTCAGGAACCGTGTGCAATGTTCTACCAATTAAAAAATGTGCCGGAGAAATTGCAACCAAGTCGTTTGATAATATTGTTCTCCGAATTCAATGGATTTAATGGTTTGAGCTGCTTTTCCGGATAGACTTTCACGCAGATAGTGAAACTTTCGAATGTCACTAATTTTTTCGTTATTATGTATGAGAGATTTAAACTTGTCTCGAAATTCTACCCAGGAATTGTAAGATCCATCAAACTGAGGCAGCTGAATTGCTGGAAGTATCACTTCCGCATATTTAAAGTCATTTTTAGTGACTTGCCTTTCATTTGGTGGCTCTTGCAACACCGTTTTTGTTTTCTTTATTATTTTGCTCGACTGATTAAATTAAAAAAAGTATCTTTAAAGTTTGAACAGATGGTCTTTTGATCTACCAATAATTGTGTATCTGTGACCAATTCTACAATTTGTTCTTGAATTAATTCAAACTTATCTAGACTATCATATACTCTAGACAGTCTTGACTCAATTTCAATTAAAAATAATTCCGAATTATCGATAGCTACGGTATTTTCCTCATTTGCTTTAAAAAATTTTTCGAACGATTTCAATGACTCTATTAAGTTAGATCGTTTTCTGACGAGTCTTTCAATCTCAGTCATTTTGACGTCTCCTTAAGAGAAATATTTTAAATATTTAAACAGTTTTTAAACTTTATATATCGAATATGCAAGGAAGGAAAAGAGTGAAGAACAGAAACTTACTACTGACCCTTTTTCATCCTTCACCCGGTTGAGTTTTGGTTTTTCGCTTTCCGCTTCGTATGGCTATCGCTTTCGTTTTTCGCTCGCTGGCACGTATCTTGCTCGAATAGGACCAATGTTTATTGCTATCGAATAAATCGTAGAGTTTTTAACGTATTTTTTATTATAAAAAGATGAATGACAACGATATTAATTCATGACATTAAACAATCTATGACAACTAAAAAAAAATATAGGGTGATTCTTAACAACTACAGAAGGGGCGTTTGATTTGAAACTCGATCGAGCGAGCGTCGAGGAGACCGAGAAGTAATGACGTCACAATAGAGCATTGAATCAAATCAAATAAAACCGAGTAAAAAACATAACCTCGCTTTTTTGTGTTTCTTGTTTCTGGTTTGTATGTTAAAATAGTGAGCAAAAAGTAAAGAAAATGGAAAAACTTTTAATATCAAGGCCCTGAAATGCAGCATTTACCACAAATGCCCGCTTCGCTCTCATACTCCATGACTGTGATTACTGGTGATTAGATCTGGACAGAAAAAATGTATTTTCCAAACACACATTTTGTGTTTTGTTATGATGAATAATTTTAGCTTTAAGACAAAAGCGGCTAAATAATTTGTTGACTTCTTGTCTGGTCTTTAATTTTGAGATTCAAATTTGTTTGTAAGTTAATTAAAAAGAGATAGATAGAGACAAAGACAAATTTCTCCCTCTTCTCGATCTTTCTGCTCTGAGAACATCGAGCTCGCTCTATGTTCTCGCTCCAAAGCGAAACAAACACTTTAGGGATCTCTCGGAGTGTCAATTCAAACACTTTTGAAGCGCTCGGAGATCTCCGGTGATCAAATCAAACGCACCAAGAATATACTTTACTGATGCACACTTGTTTTTAGTTAAGTTCCCCCACTCCATCCTGTTGAATGGGGATTGTCAGCCGTTTAAAAAAAATCTTTTACTTGTTCAATACTTTGATACTTATAAATATCGATATCTTTAACATAATATCGAACAGTATCGATGCCTGTACCACAAAGTATTTCACATGATACCAGTCTCAATACCTTTGACTGATACTCTTAGCCCTACTCCTATACTACTATAAAAATACAAAAACAAAGAAGTCATATACTGCCATCCTAGACAGAGAGGTCCTATCTGAAAATTTGTTGTTTTGAAATAATCGAGTTTTTAACTATTTTTAGCAAATATATTTATTATCTTTTAAACCTTTTTTGTGTAACTTTTTAACATTTTAGTACCTTTGATGCAAATAAGACATTCCATTTCAGTATTAAGAAAGATAAAATGTAGACAAAAGCACATAAATAAAAAAACTGATAATTTTGCAGATAAAACCTTTCTTGCTAGGACGGCAGTTAGAAGTGCTCATGTAGTTCACTAAAGATAAATAACATTTAAATTTGTTACATTTCAGTAAATTAAGTATTACCATTGCTGGACAGTAGTGACGTTTTGGTGGATAAATACAGCATTTCACTGGACATATACCTATGCCATTTTGCTGTACGTTTGCTGCACAATACCAATTGCTGGACAAACTTTAAGAATGCTTTACAATACAGCAAAATTGCTGTATGGTCGCCCTAGTGTAATAATATTTTAATCACTAAAAATAAATTTTAAAAATATTGTGTTGTAGGTTTTCTTTGTGGTGGATTATAATTCTAGTAAAAATGTCAGGAATTTTAGAAGCTAATGTTAATAATACAGAATTGGTTGAAGAAGAATATATAACATCTGAAATTATTTCTTTTTCTTTCATAGCAGAATATCACGCTAAAAACATTGTTCTGTATAAGTTGAACATCCATTATTAAGTATCAAATTTGTAAAAATCAAAATAAAGGTTATTATTTATTTAGGAAAACAAAGTAAGGAAAAATCAACTAAAAATAGGTGCAACGATTTAAACGAGCTCTTTAGCACAGTACCTTTGAGTGTGTCCGAATGCTTGACACTTTTTGCATTGAGGTACTAGCTTGGATTTTCTGGTACGATTTCTACATATACTCCCATAATTTCTCTGATTCCATATATTTTCTCAACACTTTCGTCGTGTTGGAATGTAAGTATGAACATATTCAATGGTTGTTTAGTTCTATATTTTAGCTTTGGAGTAGCAGAAATAATATTAAAGCCACGACCTTTCAAATCACTAATTATATTTTCTGGTTCGCAAGAATGGTGCAGTTTATATGCCATTACTTTAATTGGTCTATTCTGTTTATCCTCATACGAGTACCAAGTGTACTTTTGTTCTGTTAATGCTCCAGAAAGCATTCTATATTCTGGTCCTTCCGAAACGTTAATTTTAACATTATTATCGTTGATGACTTTAATTTGGGAGTTTGGGATTTGTCTCACCATACTATGGGGTTTATTAAAGTTTTGGACGTTATCCACTATGATAGGTGGTGATGCCTTGGTTTTTACAGGTTTTTTTTATTGTAGTACTGTTATTTTGTTGTTGTGACTGTGGTTGTGGTTTATTTAATAAAAAAATTTTTTTATCCATTAAACAGATAGGTGAAGGTCGACCTTACTTACGGATCCTGGACTATAAGCTTTTAAATATTTATGTGACTAAAGAAGTAAGAAAGGGTAGAGATAATATAAAAAGCATTTGCCAATTCCCGAAATCTGCTAGCATCAATAAAATCGGTGAGAAAAGTAAGGAGACGTCCTATGCCGGACTTAAAAATTTGTATCGCTATAATTTCAGTTATAACTAACTTACAACTTTATAAAAAGATAATATTATTAGGTTCCTGCAAATAGCTATAAAATTGAGTTGTTATATTATGATATAATTTGGCATTATCGTTAGATTTGGTATTTTTTATGTATCTGAAATAACTCATATGTAATACCAATAATATATCTAATATAATTATATTATGTTCTATCTACGATTTGTATAATCTAAAAGTATGAACTCCTGGCTGGTGTTATCAGATATATTAGAGGTTTCAGGTGTACTTAGTAACTCTATAAAAGGGATAGTCAGCGGACACGGGTGTCCGCTCTGGTACTTTGAGTGTTTCGTTCTTATCAGGTAAATAATTATACTTACCGACACTACAACTTCGCACCATTGGATCGAGCAAAAACGAAGCAGACTGAACTGGAAATCTTCTAGACGTAGAAGGTCCTGACGTGAGTTTCTCATCTTCAGTTAACGTAGTTTGCTTAAAATCATTGATCACAGACTTCTGCTCATTCTCTTCTATTTTTTTAAGGAAAACGACTTTTTGATTCTCGCTATTATGATTACAATTTATCGACACTTCGTTTTTGTGCTCTATGGCTGATTTGACTTGGAGTGAATTAGTGGTGGGGTAATCTGTCGAATATGACATCAGCGTTGAAGCGGGAGGTCTGTCGAACATTATGTCGCTTGGTGCGACCGCGTTTTTGGGCGACTGTAAAGCAGGAACGGATACCTTAAAATAAAATAATTTGAACTATTTGGTTCATCATTATGTATTTTATATTAGGTTATGTTAAGGTTATATTTTGACACTCTAGATAGTATTTATTCAAAATAACAAATAATATCAATATATATTAGGAAACAACAATGTTGCTATCCCATTCATGTGGTTGGATTTTTGACCTGTCTTCCAAATGGACATCTGATTTGGAGATACCTACCTCAATAATCCAAACTTGTATTTTAAATTTATATTTTTGAGAGTCCAAAGTATCTTAGAGGTCTTTCAATAATACAAGAAGTCTCAAGTCTGGTTAGGGAAATTAATTATTTGGTTTAGAGAATAAGCAATACAGCAAAGCCATCAGAGGGTTCTAAGAAGTACTGTTAGATGTTATTTTAAAGGTCCTGGAATAATTAAAATCAAAAAAGGTTGGATGTTTTAGCATAGTAAAATAAAGTAAATCAATTTGAGAAGGTGAAGGAAAAATGGATGATAATTTCCCTGTGTTACATGCCATTTCAATTAGCAACACGCAATTATTGATAGTTGTACAGTATATAAAGTTCCTAGAAAATAGGTCTTTTTTCATCTTGTTAAGAAGCAGTTTGTTATCAGTTGGGTCAGTTTAAGAAGATGTAAATTATCCGAACAATAGCTTCAGTCCTTATAAAGGACATGCATTCTAAGAGAATCATATTCGTATCCTTACTGCAGTTCTAATGGAATACTGGTTTTCTTAGAGCCCAATGTCTGGATGGCCAAATGATCACTGTGTTCGATATTAGTAAAAAGTTATATTTGTATTATTGTCTTATTGGTTTTCTAAGGTAGAATGTACTAGAATAGATAAAAGGAAATTTAAAAACAGAAAATGCTTTATATTTGCTTCATTATGTTTCCTATACAGTGCTTTTCAGATAAAAGTATCCACCTTAAGTACCTTTTAAAGGGCTGATTATTAGAAAAAACAAAAAAATGCGTCCATTAAAATTCGAAGGGTGAGATATATTTAATTTTGTTGAAAGAGTCACCATTTCGTCCCTGCTATCAACGATTCTATTTTTTTTTAATGCCTTTCCCCATTTTTTTTTATCCATTTCTGTATTCTTCTTATTTAACTAAATTTAAAAATGTATAAAACATGGGGTTTAAAATAATTAGTTTATGACGTACAGGTTTCTTTATTTCAGTGACAAAATTTTACATCTCACCTTACTCTCTGCAGAAAAATTGGATTTAGAATACATTATAACTTAATCGTACCGCTAAAAATGTATTGAAGTTTTTTATGATAGTTGGTAGAGATTTTGGAGATTTGAAAAATGAAGTTAAACCACTATTATAGTGTATTTTAATACACGTGCATATTAATTTATTGGGGTTATTTATTTGAATTCAAAATGGTTTACAAGAAAGAATTGAACTTGTAGGTTTATACTACAAAAATAAAAGTTCTGCACGACCTACTGCTAGAATTTTTAATGAAACACGCCATGGGGGTCATGCAACTCATAAGTATGTAATTGATTTTATTCATACATTTACGTCAACCGGATCAGTTGGCAATAAAAAACATAACCCAGTGGGACTCGTAAATAAAGAAGCAATCGAAGTCACAGTTTTAGGACAAGTAAGTCTTGAAAATCAACAATCACAGCCACTGTCAACAATAAGTAGTGAAGTAGGTGTTTCATCTTTCATAGTTTTTCGAATATTACACAAGCACAAGTACCATATAAAATTAAATTGGTTCAAGAGTTGTAAGAAGATGATTTTGATCGTCGTCTTGAATTTTGTGAATTATTGAGTCAGCGCTTGACTAACAATCTACATTTGTTGCACAGCCGTTGTTTTTCGGATGAATGTACAGTTTCAGAGGATGGTTTAGTTAATAGACATAATTACAGATATCTTGGCTGAGAGTGATCCACATGTTGTGCGTAAATACTACACACAGAATCGTATCTTGAGTTAATGAGAGAAGTAATTGGTCCACGTATTACAACAATAATAGAAAATAATCATAACCTTTCTGAAAATTTGCTTGTATTTCAACAGAAAATGTGGAGAGCACCTCGACACTTTGCTTAGCCTGTACGATAATTTTAAATGAAACTTTCTCTGCTCGTTGGATAGGTAGAAGAAGTCCGATGATGGAGTGGCCACCTATATCACATGATTAACACCCCCAGACTTCTTTTTATGGGGTTATTTGATAATAAAAATGTATGCTACCCAACCAGAATCTTTAGAAGATTTACGACAAAGAATAGAGTATGATTGTTCGGTAATGTCAGAGAGGAATTTTAAACTAGATTATACCAGTGTATGGAAGTAAATGGTGGTCATTTTGAACAATTTTTATATTAAATTTTAAAAATAAAATATTAATTTTATCATTGGAAACGCCTGTGATAAAATCATTAAAATAAGGTTTTGCATAATTCAATTTTATTTTAATTTAAAATTCTGTAGAACATAAACTAATTACTTTAAACCCTATGTTTCGTATATTTTTGAAATCAGTTAAACAAGAGGAATCCAAAGGGGGAAGCCATTTAAAAAAATTGAAGTGATGATAGCATACCTAAATAAGGCACAATATCTCCCCCTTCGAATATTCATTGACGTATTTTTTTGTTTTTTGTAATAATCAGTCCTTCTAAAGTTACTTAAGGTGAATACTTTTATCTGAAAAGCATTGTATATTATGTTTCTAATCTTGATATGAATTTTGTGGTTTTCCCAAATAACATTTTCCTTTTTAAACTGGTCTCAATGCATGCATAAATCCTACCACACATGTCCCGTCAAAAACAAGTAACATAGACTTTTATAATAGAGCTCACCTAACCATAAAAAAGATAAAAATTTATGTGGTATTCCAGATAAACTATGAAAATAAAAATACACATAAAATAAAACAGAAATAAGAAAAAAAAACAAAACAAACAAATTAATGCGACCGTACACACACAGGCAAACCGGTGTGATTGATTATTGGCAGTAACACAGATATCTACTGGTTTATTTCATCAATATCATTTAAAAATCGTATTTGGCATTTAACATTTAAAATTTAATATTTGGCATTTTGCATTTGGTCTGTGCTAATCGTACTTTCAACGTCGAAAAATCACCGTCAACATTACTGATCGTCTATACCGTTGTGTGTGGTAGTCGTACTTATTTCTTATTAGAATCTATATACTAATACATACCTCGCAACAGATCGGAGAAATGGCGTGTCGCTGGTTGCCGCCATTTTGCCCTCCATTTTGAATGAACTGACCAATAAAGCTCGTATTTTGAGAGCTGTTTGGACGCAAATTAAGTTGTGTACTATGGTGTGTGTTCTTAGAGTTTTGAGGACGGACATCGGTACTTACACTAGGTAACTTATTTAGGTCTAAGTGAGTTTCTGACTCTTCATAAGGCTCTTTTGTAAATGTATTTGGTGCATCTAGAAGAGAACGACACATAGATCAAAATTAAAAAAGGTTAAAAGAATCACTCACAGATTTTTATAAAATATTGCAAAACCCTCACTCTAAAACATTTTTTTTGTTGATCACTCTTCATTATTATCCCCGGACAAGCTCAGCTTTTAGGATTAAAATTAACTCGTAAGGGGGTGAATTAGGGAGAGTATTATTATTATTATTATTATTATTATTATTATTAATATTATATCATAATAAAAAAAACAAAATAAGTAATCGGTTTTAAATCATTCAAACATTAGTCGTTTCTAAAACTCACTATCCAGCACTAAATTTCACCAACCTAACATTTTGACCAAATTTTATGTTTTTTAACTTTTTTATTAGTTACCCTATTTTTATGAATTTTTAACCAGTTTGTAGATAAATTTATTTTGATTTTTTTTTAAATATTTTAATAAGTAACATTTTTCGTTTAGGCAATATCATGGGCGAAGTTATGTCATCAGATCTGGGGGGGCTAAAGCCCTAGCCCTAGTCATATAATATATAATAGTTCTAGAGGTATACCTACTGAAGTTAAGTAAAAAAATTCTGGCGAATCTATGAAAATGGATAAAATATCATATATCGATTCTAAACAAAGTTTTGCAAAATTTCAATATTGTGAATTTGTAGATATCCATTTATGGTAAAAAACTAAATTTTACGACTTGCACTTGGAAAATAATGAATACTTCAGTTTTGATTTTGACATTAACACCATATAGATTGCAATTTGCTGGGGACTTTTTCGCAGATTAATTTTTAACATAAACACTATCACATACTATAAGAAATAAACAAATTTAAAGCTAAAAAGTAAGAAAAACTCGAATTGTAATGGATACAAATTAAAATGTAAACAATGAACTCATTGCCAAATGATGAACTGATTTTAAAACAAAATTAATAAATGAACTGAAATTAAAAAAAAAATTAATATAATAAATCGGTTTTATAAAAAAGTCCTTAAATAAATATAGAGTATGATTACATATTACTATACACAAATTTTGATTCTTAAATAAAAGGTTTTATCCATTTCTTCAAGAGCTAAAATCCGACGACGTAGCGAAATTTTGCTACTTCTGGCAACACTGAACGATATCCTACTTATAGGGACCTTCTACAAATTTCCTCCAGAGGGCGTATCACAAAGCTTGAATCGCGAATAAAGATCCTTCCAATTATATCTTCTCAAGGAAGTGTAGGATTTGGAGTGGAGTTAGGTAAATCTCCTTCTTCTATTTGATATGTTAGTGCCCTTGGATTCTGAAGTGCTACACATTTAGTTAGAATGTGAATGAAAATTTTTCCTCCTCCTCACAAAATCTGCACTATCTTCTACTACTCTCAGTTTACTAAAGTGTCATTTTAGTTGGCAGTGTCCAGTAAGGATCCCTGTTACTAGTGTTCTCACTACTAGAAAAATGTATATTATGATAACAGATTAAAATACAATCTGGCTAATGTGGAACACCCCGAAAGCCTTGCCAGACTCGCCTAATGACCTTCAGGCGCGCTAAATTCGGCACGTTCGATTACTATTCCTCTCCTCGTTTAACTACCTGGCTTGTCAGGTCCGACCGAAATACGGTTTTATAACCGAAACAGAAACCAAGTTTCGGCTCCTTTCTTAGTTTCGGCCGAAACAGAAACAAGAACTTTCTTTTAAGGCAATCTCTTATTGAAATTTGCAATATCTCATTGTTATCCTTGTTTTAGACTAATTAACTCGTATTATAAATTTTAGCTACATTTACTTATTACCTGTTTATTTATGTGATCAAAAGAAGCCATTAATAAATTTATTGACATGTTCACTTGAAACAAAGCAGAGAAGTTTGTGTGTACGTGCACTGTGTAGGAATGGCACCCGGCACAGTCGCCATTGTGCCGGCCACAACCAATTGTGATACGAAAACTTTTAAAAGTAGTTTCGCTGTCGGCTGCAGTTTCGGCCAGTTTTCCGCCGAAACCGAAACTGTAGTCGAAACTATTATTTAAAGCCAAAGTTGGCCGAAACCGTAATCGAACCTTCGGTCGGACACTACTTGTGAGTCTGGCAGGCCTCCGTAATTGTAATTGTCAGCCAGACGTGTATCTTCACTTACGAATATTCTGAAATTTATCCTAAGTAGATGGATAATGTTCTTAAAATATGCGTGAGTGTGCAAAAATTTACTGATAATAATTTAGGCACGTTTGGTATTGGGTAAGAAAGTTTTACACCAAAATATCGAAATTTCAAAACTTGACAGACATGCATTAAAACGACTAAAATCAAATTTTCAAAGGTAGCCATACCACAGAATATAAAACATATGTTTTATATGCTGTGGCCATACCATGACCATTTGTCATATTTGAAGTCGTTTAGTTGACGCGAAAAACCTAATTATTATTTTACATCAAATAAATGTAGTGTATTTCTACCTAGTTATAATTGGTATTAAATAAAATATTATCCACTAAAATGGCAAATTTTTTATATGCATGAAAGAGCTGCTCAACTGTCAAAAAAAATTTCAGTATAATTTCGTTTAGGGTACCCACCAAAAGAAAAATTTCCGGAAATTTTTCTGGTTGTCATGAAAGTGTTTTAAAATAACAGCAGTTGGTTGGCTATAAAGTGGAAGTGTAAAATTATAATTTAATCTATCACGTGACAAATTATCAAACCCGGGAAAATAAAAGCAAAAATATTATATTTTTTCCATTTAGAAGATATTACCAGACTCATTAGCCAATTTCGTAAATCAGCCATTATTATTATAAACAGTTCATGATTGTATCAATTTATATGCTCAATTTTCTGCCCACTCACTTTCTACTATCTGAGATAATCCAAACTGCTATTTTTATAAGCTTTATGTTCTAGTTTAGTAAATGTAAAATAGTTATGACTGGAAAAATAAGTGTCAGGCTCAAAAATTTTGTTTTTTGTCACTAAGAGAACAGTTTATTTTTCATATGCACCGACTGGAAAAATGAATACGAAAAAAATTCACTGCCTTCTGAACTAAATGTAAAATTGCAGAATCAATCAAATGGCACGATTGTTTTTATTTTTTAATTTCTGTTTTGAAATCTGAAATGTTTGGGTGGATGTGCGATAAATATTAGAATTATTTTTGGGGGGCTAATTTTGTTTTTGGGGGGGCTTAGCCCCCCCCCCCCCCCCCTTAACCCCTTAACTTCGCCCATGAGCAATATTATATAGGGATAAATCAAAGTGTTGTTTTTTGGTCACAATTTCAAAACATCATGTAGCAAAATTGAGGAGAATAATTTTGTTTACATACTATTTGCTGTAATCAAAGATGTATTTTAAACATTTTGTTTTTTGATTCATACCATTATCATTTCTTCTGTGAGCTGCATTTAAAAAAAAACGCTATTAATTTTAATTAATGACAAAACAATAATCAGTAATAGTGGTCATTCTCCTTCTGTCAGAACCTTGCTCCCTAGTAAATTTTCCGTCTGTAAATACCTGTTTTAAGCATCTTCAATTGCAAATCGCGGAATTCCCAGAGTGTTTTAATACTCGTTAGGATTATATGTTTTCGTATATTTATATTTATTATTCAAACAGGAAAGATAATAAATAATGTTACTCTTGTTGGGGTTTTTATTTCGTATTTTTATATTTAATATTTAAAAAGACTTTTCGAATGCACCTTGTATAGTATTTAGTTTTTGGATTCGATGTAGATAAAATCATCTACGCGACGGTGATGCCGCGCAACGCTAGAGGCAGGGAGGCTGGTAGACGAGAAAGCCGGTATCTTTTCGTTTGGTAACTTCATCCCACCTGTCTTTTTTCTCTTATCTCTGAAGAATTTTATTTTAATTAAAAAGAGGTTATCGAAGTGATGGTTTAATATTTAGCAATAGGTAAGGTAGAAGCTTTTTCTTTATTGTTCTTGAGGTGAATTGTTGGCTACACGCTGCATTAGAGCGTTGTTTATCGATTAAGGATATTTGTTGTAGGGATTTAGTGATTAACTGATGTATTCCACTGGAATCCCGAACAAACAGAAGTTTTTGAAAAATTAAAAAAATCTGTAGCTGAAGCTGCTCTGTTAGCTCATCCATTTGCAGACCTGCCAGTGACATTTACAGATGATGCATCATATGACGCAATTGGTGCAGTGGTAAACCAACATGAAAAAACTCCGTTTATACCTTTAAGTTTTTTCTCGAAGAAGTTATTAAACGCTCAGAAAAAATACAGCACGTACGACAGGTAGTTGCACGCCATATATGAAGGTATTAAATACTATAGGTATATGCTAGAAGGTAGAGACATTATCATTTTTACTGATCACAAGCCAATAACATATGCGTGGAATAAAAATCCTAAAAAGTCTACACCTAGGCAGAGTAGATACCTCGACTTTAGAAGTCAATTTTCTACAGATATTCGCTATTTATCGGGAGCTAAGAACCAAGTTGCAGACGCCATAAGTAGAGTATCGGCCATCACATTGGGGCAGACAGAGTTACAAGACTGGTCAGAGGCACAAGAATCCGAATCCTTTAACATTTAAAAAAATATATATTTCCAGATGTCGCAAAAGGGTCAACAAATAATGTAGAAGTCACATTTACCAAATAAATTCGATTAGTTTGGGATTGGACATGTTGAAACAAATCTTAGGTATATAACTCATTTAAAAGTTGTAATTCTGTATAGCCGATATTAATTATAACCAAATACGACTCTGCTTAGACTACCATTTAAGCCACGCCCAGTTGGGGTCATTTTTATTAACACATATCTTATGGGATGAGACTAGTACTAAATAATAACTGTAGCCCGCAACGCAGTATAAAAGGGTTGTCTAAAATTTTTTAAAAAATCGACGCCAGAAAGTTAAATTTTTTAATAATACCTGATTTTCTTATTGTATTCTCCGGAATCAAATATGGACCTTTCTGCTTGCTCACAATTGGTCTTCTCGAAGCAATAGGTGCTATCGGAGGGCAATTGTCAAACGGAGTCGTCGCTTTGATCTCTTCCAATTGAGCTGTATCGTCTTCATCTTCGGAGAATAGATTCGGATTAAAATTCGGATCAGGAATGATGGGAAAATCATCGCTGAGCTCGGTCATGACCAAGGTCATCTGTCGCGGCTGAAGATGAAGTAAAGACGTTTTGTACGTGACCTGACCTAGGTTGCTCGGAACGGAATTCGCTAGGCCGTGAATTTTAAATTTGGTACCCCAAATGTTGGAAGTTACTTCAACTAGACGGATTTGCTGAAAATGTTAAATAATAATTAAAATTAATTAGATGCTAATGGTTGGCATTCACTTAATTGTGCAAGCCTGAAACTTATCTGTAAAGACTATAATTAATTTGATAGTTTGAAATTCTCAAATTCTGATAAATTTCAAAACATCAGTAGCCGCTAGTGCTATAGAGCTGTAAAACTGCAAAAAAATTATGTCATCTACATGTCACATCTAATTTTGACATAAAAAGTGATATTTTTTATAATCGCAGCAAGTGTCAAAATAATCTACTTTACGGAACCAGTAGCATAATGTTGAACATTATGAAACTAGTTTCAAAAAATTCATTAGTTGCAAAAAACAAATAAAAATAAACCTTTTTTGGTTTTAAAATAAATAGCTTATATCAAAGAAGAGCAGGTTGACTTATAAAAATAGACTTTTGTTAAACTTGTTTGGGTCCTTATTTTCTATTCTAAACCAGCACAAAATGAATAAAACACAATACACGACAAAATAGCGCACTTTCTTGAAATATAAATAACTTTAACAGCAATATAAACACTACAATAAGTCGTTGAGAATAAATGAATATTATTTTCTATTTGTCAATAAAAGAAAAAAGTTAATCACATGCAACTAACAATACAAGAAAGTAGTAATACTGATTTCCTAGATATCAGTAATACACAATTTTAAAACCATTCTAGTCTAAATTAAAAAAAATATTGTTTGTAACACTTTACGAAAAATGTCGTTTTATGTAACTCGTTCATGTCGCGAGACCTCGCTCTGCTCGTTCCGCAAATATTTACTAGTTACATAAAATAATATATTTCGTAACTGGTTTCATAAATAGCCATTAGACATCTTAAATTATACGTAAAATAGATTTTATGGATAATCTAATTAATTTTAAATCATAAATAGGGTCCATGGCGAATGTATCTTACTATCATTTTATAGTTGAGAACTAGACCAAAACGGACCAGTGAAATCTTGCCAGGGTCACATTCATCTCTTAGCTGCGTCGCCTCGGGACGGTCTGTGCACCGCTTGGAGCGCTCGTCGTCCCACCTCCCGCGGCTCTTTAAAAAGTAACATGTAGTTTTTGGGCTACATTTTTGCCAGATCGGTGTGCTTTGACTGTAGTCTGTCGCGTATATAATTTGATTGTAGTTTCGCAGAATATTAGTTTGTATTAATTCGCCAGCGCTCGTTTTCATTGTATATAAAAGACATGGATGTAGTTTATAAGATAATAAACAAAATAAATACGCGTATAAGTACAAGTTTTAAAAAGGACCGCGATAAGCTCACTTTCTCAAACTCTTAATTCTTTTCTGTTCCTCAGAAAATAACTTCAAAGTTTCAGCTATTTTGAAACTAATTATAAAACTAGCTTTAACAACACTGTCCAGATTTGTTCTTTGTGAACATTTGTTGCTGTTTGCCTAAATCGGTAATGAGTTCTTTAATTTAAACCTTTCTTATCTGGCTCATCAGTGAATTATATTGAGCAAAATACTTGCTGGAGTAATGTCGCTTCACATTGTATTCTTTTAAAACAGAAATTGTTTTATTGCACAACAAACAAATAGGTTTACCACTGTGAAAGATAAAAAAGTATTCATCAGTCCATTTGTTTTGGAATTAACGACATTCTGTGTCCACTTTCCGCTTTTTTAAATCAGACATGTTTTTGCTTGAATATTTTCCCCGCTGAGCGGTTTATATATTACCCCCAATAGGTAACTAGAATACTCTCGACCGTGCGCTTCAAGCACATCGGGCGGCTTCCCGAATATTTGGATCAGTCATTTGAGAAAGCCCATAAGTCACAAATTTATTATATGCCAAAAATGGCAGATTCTTATTGCTAACACTTCGGTGCACGTTCTAACGAGAAATCTCATTAGTCTTAGCAAATAGTAAACCCATCTCGCAGTTTTAGAAAAAAAAATCAGTACTTTGTCTCACACACAGACGATTTAAGAAAGTTTTTTTTTTAATTTCCCAAACTTTTACTGTTCTGACTTATGGTGTTTCTCAAATGACCGATTCATTTATCTGTTTGTTTCTTTCTAACGTCTATTTCTGGCACGATCTGTAGCGTTCTACTGCGTACGCCCAATAATATTACTTATCAATTTTAGTCATTATGAGTTGAAGAATACAGTAGCGTTCTACTGCGTACGCTTAATAATATTATTTATTGATTTTAGTCATTATGAGTTGAAGAATACAGTGGCGTTCCACTGCGTACGCTTAATACAATTACAAATAAACTATGTGTGCTAACTCAATATTTTTTTGCGCATTATTTGAATATTCTGAATCTCTCGCGGGCCGGATTGAAGATGGTGGAGGGCCGGATCTGGCCCGGGGGCCGGAGGTTGCCCACATAATCATATTATGATTTAGGTAAACAAAACGAACAAAACGCACTCACATAAAATATTGTCACAGTAATTGTCAGTGGAACCATAATTACGTCTTTACTAAATTACCATAAAATTTAAATTCAAATATCGATTACTGTCACTGTAGTATCAAAACTATCAATACTCAGCAAAAACAGGAACAATATTTTTCATGTTGATTGATGCTAAATAATTTTACAATAAAAAAATATTTATGCCCATTATTTTACATAAATTTAAAAATTTGGTGGGGGACCTTACTAGTTATAGAGTATGTTGGAATCATATGGAAAACTTTTTTATTATTAATTTTAGGAAAAAAAGTTATTCTTCATAAAAAGTTCTGCATTATCTAAAACCTAGAATACAGTCATCAAATATCAAATTTTTTTCAGTGGTATACGAGGTTTGTCAAAAAATATGAGTTTTATTCAAGAGTAAAGTACCTTATTTATTCTTTATACGACTGATAAAATTTGATATTTGATGGTTGTATTTTAGGTTTTAGACCATGCTCGACTTTTTATAAAGAACAACTTTTTTTCCTAAAATTAGTAATAAAAAGCTTTCCTATCCCACCAGCTGTCTACGTAAATTGGCGGCATATGAAAATCTTTTTTATTATTAATATTGGGAAAAAGTTATTGCTTATAAAAAGTCGAGCATGGTCCAAAACCTAAAATACAACTACCAGAAATCAAATTTTATCAGTGGTATAAAGAATAAAGGCACTTTACTCTCTTTACAACTCATATTTTTTGACAAACCTCGTATACCACTGAAAAAATTTGATATTTGATGACTGTATTCTAGGTTTTAGACCATGTTCGACTTTTTATAGAGAACAACTTTTTTCCTAAAATTAATAATAAAAAGTTTTCCATATGATTCCAACCTAGGGGGACATACTGTATAATAATTATTATTTTAAATAAGGTGGGTGAGGTCCATTAAATGTCAATTAAAAGTTAATCATACATTAGGCAAAATTAGGTATTTTTCAATAATTATTCGTTAAATTTTAAATACAACTTAACTTTAAATTAAGTTAATAGACAGAAATGTATACTTTAACGAATTAATTATAAGTTTCTAACCCTATTTTTTGGAAAGGGACAGTAGAATTTTAAAACACTAATATATGTTTTTTGTGATTATGGATTACTGAAATTACTATATAAATACGTATTCTTGTCGATGAACCTCGAAGGTCATTAAGATCAGACGAATTTTTTTTAAAGAATTTAATAAAACAGATTTTTTGATAGGTTTCGATTTTTTAAAAGGCCTGTAAAAAATGTGCTAGATGAAATTCGTACAGATATTCAACTAAAAGGCCCTAGATTTTTTTGACTCATTGATATTTGTATACTGTCCCACCAGAGCAACAAGCAAATGTTCCTCTTCTTTGCTATTTTGCATTTTCTCAATTGTTTAAAATACGTTACAAATAATATTACAGAATGTTAAAAATTTTTGTTTAAAAAAAACTGATTTAATATTGATCATAATCCCTAAAGATTACCTATTTAGTAATAATTATTAATTTGACTGGCTTATTTAATCATAGAAAATTAATATGATTTTATTACACGTTAAGAGCAAACCGAACACTTTGAAAATTTATAATTTCTTCCGAGCCTTCATTTTTATTCCGATTTTCGTGAAATTTTAAAAAAATACCAATAATAACAAAACATAGAGTGGATAACCCTTAAATTATTTGTAACCCTTTGAAAAGTATTTATTTAGAAATTTTTAAAAGGAATGTCAAAAATAGCTATTTATGAAACCAGTTACGAAATGTCTTATTTTATGTAACGAGTGAATATTTGTGGCACGAGCAGAGCGAGCTCCCGCAACATGAACAAGTTGTCAACATAATAAAGACAATAATCACAAATGACATTTCTCTTTGAATTAAAAATTTGATATGACTTGTCTCACTATCATGGCCTGGATTAAGAAACATTTTGCTGGATCACTCTATATTTTAATCAGTTTATATGTCTATCAGAAACTATCGTACTTGGGATCCCATCTTTTTGTAAAAAAAAATTATTCATTATTGTGCCCTCTAGAATTGAAACCAAATGCTCGGAATTCACACATTTCGATATTGGTAATTAGTGCAATAGCTCCTGAGAAACGTGTTTGAAACCAAATGTTATTACACTTTAACCCCTTAGTAATGCAGCAAATTATTATTTTAAAAAATCTGTCACCTTACCGCGTGAAACTACATTATTTTATATACTTACTTCTGGCAAAGTATCAACATACGACAGATCTTCGTGCTCAGAATCTTGCTCGGTTCTTTGATATGAATGTCTTTCGTTATGAGTGTAACTACTAAAGTGGTTTTTATGTTTTCTTTTTCGTTTTCTTTGCATTCTCGGTGAACTCGTACATCCATCTTCCCGTTCGCTCTCGGATGAATCAGTGGTGGCACCGCCTGCGCTCGCTGAATTGCTTGATGATGATGAGCTTTTGGATTCGGGGGAACTAACTAAATAATCTAAAACAAAGAACATAAAACGAATCACTAGCAACGTATATCTTTTAATTTATTAATCGTTTAGAGAAGGCACCATAAGATAAACCATGTTCACTGAAAGCAAACTTACCTTCTTGAGGGTCGAATATAACGAATTCTGGTCGAATTTTACTGGTTCTTTTTCCCTTTAATAAAGGCACTAACCCACCCAAATATTCCAAATATAATGTATAACAAGTACCAGAAGACAGATTGGTTTCTTCGTCGTGTCGGATCATTGTACAATGCAAACGAACAGAACCGACTGGTGGACGTGATACGAATTCTCTTAAAGCTAATGTTTCTGGTACACAACACTACAAAAGAAATTAATATTATGGGATATACCACGTTAATTTATTTTATTTTTTAAGCGATTTGGATTACATTTAAAACAAACATATTATAGAGACTCTGAGACTAGACAATTTCGAATTGATCTTATAATTAAGGGGATTCTCGGATAATGAACAGAAACACCAAAACGTTGCACATATTATTTGAAATTATTATTTATTCGATTTGAAAAATTAAAAACCAGTTTAAAGCATAAATAAAAGTATACAATTTTATGTTTTTTTGATTTTTGACATTTGAAATTAAAATATATTAAAAAAATGTTATATTTCTAATTAAGTCATAGGGCTATTGTCTGTTAATCTATCAAGTAAACCTACATGTAACTTTACTCAGAGGTGAAAATATCAGACCTTAATTTAATTTATCAAAAATTTAAATTTTTAAAAACCTTATAGATATGTTTTTTAGAATTAAAAGGGTTTAACGTTTTCAAAATCAATATAAGTTGAATAACATGCAAAAAAGTATGTAAAATGTGTCTAAAAATTACAGAGTATTTATGTGAAACAACTATCTAGTCTTTCGATAAATAGTGACGATTCTTGTAAGGAAAAGTGGGTTCGTATAAATTGCAACATATTAAAAATCATCTTCTAAAAATGTTAATTTTAATGGTTGTCATCCCGTATAAATAAATAAATTTGTAATAAAATGATTTAAAATCTAATTGTCAGCGCAAGCAACATTGATAAGAGAGGGAGATTTCGCGTTGTTGGAAAATTTATTTAGAAATCTGGCATTTCCCATGTCTGAAATCATTTTCTCTACTATTCATTTCTGATTGAATAGTTAAGCTAAATAGTTGGATACTGTGTCTACATTGCAATATCGGTAAGTTTTTA